CTTTCCCCTGGCATGCACTCTGAAGTGCGAACCTTTTCGGCGACAGTGACTTACTACAGCTTTTGGGGACCCTGGAACCCGAAGGCGGCCGACTGCCTACCCTAAGATTTACGAGTGGCTCCAAGGATAAGACAAGGTCCCAGTGTCTCGGTGACAGTAGGGTCTTTGATGAGCAGCCGCGCGCTGCAGCTGGGGAGGGGAAAAGGGCCTGCTGCAGAGGCGGACAGAACCTGAATTTCTTCCCGGCCAGAGTTGGGCGCCGGGGCGCGGGCAAGCTGCCCCGCATGCCATCAGCATGCAGGAACCGCGCGCTCCGTCCTTGAAGTGCTGCCCGGCTGACCTTGCTCCGCTTTCTCCGGAGAAATCTCTAGCAGAGTGCGAGGACGCCGCTACCGCGGTGACTCAGTGCCCTGCGCGCCGCATGCAAATGCTCCTCTCCTGCAAGCTCAGCTTCGCAGCCGTAGCATCCCTTTCCTGCCCTCCTTTTAATTCTGCGATTCACACCCAGCGTTTTCTGCCCTCCCCCTCCCCCTCTCCACCGCTAGCCTGGCGTTAGCGGTTCTGTCCGGTGTTTTGTCCCGTGCCTCCCACCCGCAGAACTGAAAGCCAACCTTCGTGATCCCTCGCTGCGGGATCGGGGACCGGACGTGGCTCGCTCTGGCCAGGGCACCGCGCGCTGGGCGACAGCGATCTGGAGACAGACCAGAGAGGGCGGTGCTCGTCGCGTAGGGGGCGCTCGGGCGGACGCGGACGGAGCCCGGGCCCAGCTCTCCATTGGCCGCCACCTCCGCGGGAGGGGCCGCCTGGAGCTAGGGCACCCCCTCCGCGGGGAAGGCGGCGGCTGCCGGGAGCGGGCTACCGGAGGTAAAGGCATTGGGAGGGAAGGCCAGGGGCCGAGACTACCTTCCAGCAACCTGCCCAGTCCCACTTGCCGCCCCGGCACTGGCGACATTCAGATGCCCCCTGCTCCGCCGCGCCAGCTGAAAACTTTGCCCCGCTAAGTCTTCTGCCCGCCTGACTGCGCCGTGAGGCGCCTGGTGGGCCGCGCGCCCCCGGGGCCCCGGAAACCCGCACGTGATTGCGGGACCACCTCGTACCCTGGGTCCGCGGCGCCCTGCCGCCAGGATGCGCTACGCGGACCCCTCGGCCAACCGGGATTTACTGGGGAATCGAACTTTGCTCTTCATCTTCATCTGCGCCTTCGCCTTGGTGACCTTGCTGCAACAGATCCTGTACGGCAGGAACTACATTAAGAGGTAGGAAAGTCCACGGGAGGGCGGGATGCGCAGAGCCGGTAGGCTAGCCCCCAGGTGGCGGCCGCAGCATCGGCTGCAGCTTCCCAGGCTCCAGTGACCGTGATCTGTCTGCACTTTGGCCGGAGCACCATCACGGTGGGCTTGGCTCCGAAACGCATCTCTGCTCCAAGCCAGAGAAGGACAGTGCCTGCCCAGCGCCGGCTGGAGGGCCGGACAACTTAGTTCTACTGTGAAAGATAGGGGCAGGTTGGAATTCCAAGCAGCCAAGCTGACAGTAAACCCATTTGGTTTAGACCAGTGTCCCCCAAATCTACAGTTCCATGACTATTTGGTAGGAACTCAGGAGTGGAAGGCCCAATATCGAATAGAATTTTTTTTTCTTTTTCTTTTGCCTGGCGAGTCCTGAACTTTTGTTAGGGGTCCTTGGGTGGAAAAACATAATCCTCCTTTCCAGAAGCGTCAGTTTAGGTGGAGGTGGTAGTGGGCTGTGGCGATGCACCAGAGAGAGTGAATTCTTCTATAGCCACTGGGTCTGGGAAATGCACAACTGGATCCCTTCTGAAACAGATGGTTCTTTATCACTGTTAGTGCAAAAGAGGGTTGCAGCAGAAGGGAACCCTCCCCTCTTGATTGGACTCTACCTCTACTACCCCTGTCCACCCACAAACTCCATTAAGAGAAAGAGCACAGCTCCATTGTCTCTGTGAGGATGGTAGCACAGAAATGCCAACTACTTTCTTCTGCCAGCTCTGCTGGTTCTAAGAAACATTTAGGGTTACTCTGCCTGATTTGGGAGGGTTGGGAGAGTCTGCTCTAGGATACTCTCATATCAGGGCCTCTCTTGAAAGAGCCCTCCCCCCCCACATACACACACACTCCTTTCTGCTGGACTGTTACTCTTTGCAGCCAGTGTCTCCCTACTCACTGCCCTCCCCTCCAGTCTGATGAAAGAAAAATGCCTCTCTAGCTAGATCAGTATCCCCTAATCTTCTCTGAAGTCCCAATAGTAGAGTAGTTTTGTTTGTTTGTTTGTTTTTGCTTTTGCTTGCTTTTTATCATTTGAGTTCTACATCAATCATATGTTCCCCAATCTGCACTGCCCCCAAATGTGGGGGAATGAGGCTTGTTGCTGGGTATCTTGCATCCAATAACAAAGGCAGGGACCTGGGCTTTCTCCTTCTTGAAACTCCTGAGAGCTGGGGAGTATGAAGTACCATGTCCTGAACATTCATCTCCAGCGAGCCCTGCCCTAGGTCTTCCCAGAGAGCATTCATTCCTGGTTGGCAGCTGGTCATGGGCTCATGGTGCTGGAGGCTTTAAAGGACATTCTCACAGTCTTTTAGTTTGTTGGATCTGATTGGACCTGCCTCTCCTTCTGCTTACTGCCTCGCCCATGGTGACCCTGTGCACAGAACAGTCAGACCAGGTTGCTGCAGCCCTGCAGCATTGGCTTGCTGCTGTCATGGCACTTGCTCCTCAGGGTAGCCCTGGGTTTCTGCCTCCTGCTGGTACCTCCCCAAAGTTGCTGGGGCTGCCAGGATTCCTTCTGCCTTGTCAACAGGAGAAGGTTGGTGTCCATGGCAAATGCCCGTTGAAGCACTACTTACTTGCTCTGGCAAGCCCTCCCTGGTCCTCATGGGTAGGCTAGCTATTGGAGTGCCAGGTGCTCCCATCCTCCCTCACGTATAGACCGAGACCTCCTCAACTGTATAGATGCTACCTTGTTGGTCACATGTCAGGGACTCAGGTTAATCCATTCCAAAAACAAAAATGATCCTGGAAGGGTGTCCTGGGGTCTGAAAAGAAGATGGTGTGGTCCTGGTGCTCAGGGAGCCAGAAGTCTATCTGAGGAAACAAAGCAGCTACAAATGAGATAGGCAGGGGTTTTAAAATTGAGAAGGAAGGCACTGATGGGCTGAAGTGTTCTGGGAAGACTTCTTAGTGGGGATGGTACTTGAATGGGCCTTGAAGGAAGGGTGAGGTTTGGACAGAAGAAGGGGCGTGCTCTATTACTGCCCCAATGGGAGCAGTCAGGACTCTGGAGATCCTCCCTGCAAGCATCTCTGTTTGTCAGGAAAGGAGGAGGTAGGGCCGTGTGGATGTCTTAGTAGACTCAGTATCTACTGGAGAAATTTCTTGACTTTCCCTGTGTCTATTCTTGATGGAATAAACACCTAATGAAGATTATTATATGCTGAGCATCACCTCGAGTGCTGAGGATACAATGGTGTTCAAAACAGACATACTCCAGGGTCTCCAGGGAGTTCACAGGCTATTGGGAAGACAGAAAGCAAATAATTCATACATAAGCCACACCTGGAGGAACGGACAGAGTATTCTAAGGATGAGAAGGGAGTCATAGAAAATCGGTGTGCTTCAAGATGCATAGAAATATCCAAAGTGGGTCGAAGGAGAGAGGAATGACACATTGGCAGGGACAGAGGTCGAAGGAGTGTGGGTGAAACCCTGTAATTCTGCATAAGTCAGGTGTTACAGCTGTGTGGCTGAGGCAGGCAGGGCCAGGCCTCGGAGCACAAAGGAGAGCATGTGAGAGAGGGAGCATGTCTAGAGGAAAGAAGGAAACAAGCTTGAGTCTGGATCTTTTTGGACACTGGAAGGCCGTGTAGAGCTATCCAGCAGCTCTTTAGAAATGAGCTCTGGAACTGCAGGTGAAGAAGAATCAGGCTAGCAATGTGGGTTTTGGATTCACCAACCATTGAAATCTGCATTTTCTTTTTATTTTTAAAAGAAATCATCAATTTATTACTAGTTTTCCGCTTAAATTTGGCCAGAGAGAGAGAGAGAGAGAGAGAGAGAGGAAAAGTGAGAAAGAAAGTGTGGTTGGCCAAATGGGAATCCAGCACCTTAACTACCACACCACCTGCCAGCCCTGAAATCAGCATTTTCTAAACTTCTATCACTTTGAGGTACTGGAAGAGAGGTCATACCAGAGATCTAGAATATATTCACATATACACTTAACTTAGAAACATTTTGTGATATTATGAGGAAAGTAGTTTAACATTTTGTATTCTTTGTTTAAAAAATAAAATGGAAGTCAACCTCAAAAAGGAAGGAAATTCTGCCATGTGCCACAACATGGATGAACCTTGTGGACATTATGCTAGATGAAGTAAACTCGGCGTAAAAGGACAAATACTGAATGAGTCCAGTTGTATGAGGTCCCTAGAGTAGTCAAGTTCATAGAGACAGAGAAAGTAGAATGGTAGTTGCAAGGATGGGGGTGAGGAGTTATCGTTAGATGGGTACAGAATTTCGGTTTGTGAAGATGAACAAATTCTGTAGATGGATAGTAGTGATGGTAGCATAACAATGTGGATGTACTTCATTGCTATCCTTAAGTGTGGTCAGAGTGGTAAATTTTATATATATTTTACTACAATAAAAAATGTAAAAAAAATGAAAGAAACCCACTAAATTTGATTTTATAGTCCATTGTGTTGAAGCCCTTAGAAAGTACTGGATGGCACAGTGGTAAATCATAACATTCTGTGAGGCTGATCCATGTGGGAAGATTCCAAGTTTACAACTGGAGACCTCCCTGAGTGCACCAGGCACATGTGTACCTATGACCTGGGGCTGGCTGAGGCTGGAGATGAATCACGGCAGCAAGACCCTGCTTGGGATGCTGTTTATCTTTGTCTCTCTCATTCATAGAAGAAGTAAATACACTTTAAAAAGAAGAACAAAAGGAAAACACTGGTCAGTGTGATGAGGTTGGATGAAACCACCCAGGAGAGAGGAGAGGGAAAATGGCAATGGGTCAGGCCACAAAGGAGAGACTTGAGGGGTGCCTGCATCTAAAGGGTAGAAAGAGGAGAGCTGGCTTTGGAACCTGGGAAGAGGTTGGAAGGGGACTAGAGAGAAGTATTAAGGAAACCATGGATGGCATGCCAGGAAAGAAATGGTCAACTGTGACATAGCCTGCAGTGGGCTCAGGTGGAATAGAGCTAAGTATGATCACTGAGCTTGGAAATAGAGGCAAGGACAGTTTGGGGAGAATGGGATAAAGTTTATCCTTTTGTTATTGCTTTAGGTGTCATATCTAAGAAATCACTGCCTAATCCAAGATCACACAGATTTACACCTATGTTTTCTTCTAAATTTTATAGTTTTAGCTCTTGAGTTATAATAGGCGAAGGAATGAGTAGGG